TGAGTTTCACAGCGGCTTATATGCAGGAGGGAGGATGATGCAATCGCGGAAGCCAGGAGGGGAGGAGACCAATGGGCATACAGCACGTTTGGCCGGCTGCTGATCTCACGAGGGGAGAAAATGGGCGAGAAGAGAAAAGGAGGAAGGGTGTGGGCAGGAAACTCTTTTCTCATGCCTTTGCAATCCGGATGTTTTTCTCTATCCATATTCCATTTCACCTTTTTATGGTGCAAGATGCTGACAGATGCAAGAAGCCGGCCTCAGTCCCCAACAATAAGGGGTGAAATCTCTCATGAACACTAGTGTGAATAATTGATAATATACTGGTATCTAGAACCCAACAATGTACAAATATGGTAATATATCTTTGCACAAATAAGATTCCTCACAGGAATGTTATGATTTATCATTTGAAAATACTCAATATTAGGTAATATATTTAAATGACATTATTAAAATATAGTACATCTTTAAATACAGAGAAACTCCAATTTATGTCTTAAAAATATATCAAACTGGAAATAAAATGAAACTTTTTAAGCTAAAAAACATACTCAAAATCTATAAATAACATCGCAATGAATAGTGACAGAGTGAATACTTCTTTAGGTAAGTTTCTAGGAAGAAATATTTGAATGTATTCAGTTATTATATGTCAATTGGGTCTCAGAAGAGTTGTTATAAAATAATGAAATATTTTCCTACTAATAAAGCTATGAATGTGTATTCTCTAAACTTTATTTTGTATTTCATGATAAAATAATTTTTATGTTTTAAATTTTTACTTTTAAGTTCCTTCATTTTCCATCATTTCATAATTTTATACATATGGCATAGTTAATTTTAGAGTTTTCCTATCAAAGTAGGAAATTTAGCTTTCTCTAAAATTTTTTACATCAACAATACTGTTGTAAGGTAAATGATGTTGATACAAGACTGATTGCTGCCTGTAGTAGTTCATTGTTTGCATTTTTATTAAATAAAGCAGAGAAAAGATTGCTGCATATAGCATTTTGCACATACAGCAGTTACATAGCATTATAATAATTTGCACATAATATAAAATGTGTGATACATACAGAATACGTCTAAGAAAGATTATATTTTTAAAATGATGAAATCACACATTTGGAAAGTGATATTAGTCTATTGCAACGAGCAATTCTATAATATAAATTATCTCATAGATTATTGAAATCCAGGTAAATGACATCAGTATTTGACTGATGTTGGATTATTTTATACAAAATTTTCAACACACCAATATTTTATGTTAGGTAATGACTACCGAACCAAAAATACATGAACTCGGGCTCTTTCTGGTGCCGCAACAGGTTATAGCATAGCACTATAAAGCTATCGTAGCCACTGCAGTATGAATTCAATCCCCGGCCGGGGAGATGGCCCACTGGCCAGGGAGTCAGCCCACTGTTCCCCTCAGCAATATATTTCAATCAGTCTGCCTGTTCTGCTCCCCACTCTGTCTCTGGAATCCTTTCACACCCTCCCTGGACCTTTGGCCTGTACTCCAGTTCTGTATGCATAAGAAAAAACATGAACTCACAGAATATGGAAAACTCCCCCAAAACTGATATTGGTATGTTCATATTGTTTTTGGTGTTACTTATTATCTGTTTGTATGTTGCTGAAGGGCGGGGGGCAGGAGAGGTTCGCTAACCACTGAGTTCCCCCTGGAACATAGGAGACTCAGAGACATGAGAGAATGAAGCAGGAGCCTGGGGTCTGGAGTCCAAAGTCTGTCTGTTTATTAGGACGACCCATGGGTATATATAGGGTCTGTTTGTTCATGGAAAAACAGAAAATGTGTCCTAGGCAGGGAGTGGGGTACATGCTTCTAACTGGCCTAGGGCTTCTTGTAGCTTCTACTTGAAACAAAGTAATGGGCTGCAGCTATTTGCAGGACAAAGTGACTGCTCTGCAGACTTGTTTGTTGACCTTGCTGGGGAGTGTGCTCACCCATGCACAACATTAGCCAGGGTGGACAGGTGCACTTGAGGTCCTGCAGTTAGCCACATTGAAAAAAACATGAACTCACAGAATATGGAAAACGCCCCCAAAACTGATATTGGTATGTTCACATTCTTTTTGGTGTTACTTATTATCTGCTTATATAACTTTTTTGTTTCATTTTAAATTTTCAAACGGTCCCTTTAATGAACAGTCTCAGCAGTTTTTTACTCCCACTTGCATCCAGTTATATTCTAAGTAATATATGACTCCACTGTTATCTTCTAAGTACTATATGACTCAATTTGTCACTTTGGAATTGTTTCGAGTCAGGGTTGGCTAAGGAGGGACCTGGATGAGACTTGGGAGATAAAAGTAAACTCGTGGCCATTACCTCTGATTCACTGTGGCCAGGAAGATGTAGGTACTCACTAAAGATCCACTTCATTCTCTGCTATTTCCCCCACCCCCACCCCACCATCTGCAATGCTATATCAGTGTCTCAAAATCTCATACCAGGTACATGACTATGGAATCATAGAAAGTGCTCCTGAATCAAATTCACATATACATATTAATCAAGTTAAATTGCTGAAGTGAAACATTGAAGAAAATCTGGATTTGGTTCTCAAATGTGAACAGATTTAATCCAAGTAATTTCATTGCCATATAGGGTGTGATGTCTTGATCTTAAAGAACTAGATACACATTTAAACAGCCTTATTACCCTTCATTCAGAAGTTCCATACCCTATATATATATATATATATATATATATATATATATATAATTTATCTATAAATACCAATCACATGCATTATCATTTAAGTCCTCTATGAAAGGATTGTTGTCAGGGTAAGGAAAAAATAGTAATGCACAGCATGCCAAGGCAAACTCTATTTGTGTTATTAATGATGATCATAATAAAAGGTGTACAGAAAGATGTCCTATGATAAAATAGCTGTTGTAATAGAAGGCATTGTCTATAATTAGGGATATATTATAGTTGGATGGTTCCAATTTTATTATAAAACATGAACTCAGTTTATATATTCACAGGGGATTAAATTGAGTTTAACAGCATATAACTTTCTAATCCATACCCAATACAGCAAGAATCAAGGGATAAAACCAACTACTTGTATAGGCCATCAACTATCACTATATTATTTGGTAAGAGAGGGGAAATGATTTTGTAATAAAAATCAATTTTTAAAAATTATTTTACTATAGAAAACACTACAACAAAATTTCAGAAATAAGTATATGTGTCGAATCTGAACAAAATAGGATGATCTATATACTTTCTTTTTTTTAAGATTTATTTATTCATACAGAACTGGGGTACAGGCCAGAGATGTGGCGGGTGAGAGGATTCACCAGAGACAGAGTGGGGTGCAGAACAGGCAGATCAATGAAGTACACTGCTGAGGGGAGCAGCGGGTGGGTCAAGAGAGGTCTGCCTCACCATGTGGATCTCCTCCAGGACAGGCGGGGATCGAACTCATGTGGAAGTGGCTTAAGCTTCTTAATGCTGTACTTTAACCCGCTGCACCACCAGGGAGGGCCTCTCCTATATACTTTTAGTAAGAGAAATGAGAGTCCATTTGATTGATTACTTTTTCTTAAATATATTTTCCTTTAGCTTAAAGAAATTGCTAAGGGCAATT